AATTAACTATAGGGGCTTGCGCCTATAGGAAACCAGAACTCAGATCATAAAGTCCTCACAAAATGAGGGCAAAATCTCTGGGTAGTGTCTTATCTATAAACCCATCTGCCTTCCAAAATTTACCTCGGAACTTATTCAGTTAAAACTCCCTCGCCGAATAAAAAAAAAAAAAGAAGCGAGGCGGGCGGGGAGGCCGGGGCCGAATTTTCGGAGCCCACAAATTCTTGTCAAGCAAAACTGTTGGCAAAGCATAAACAAATTTGCTAGAGTAATTGAATATGATGCAAAATTTTGTTTAATAAATCCTGCTTATATTGGGCAAGATTCCAAAGCCTCTATTGTTTATCAATCTCAAGTGAACAAGGATTCAATGGCCTCACTTATGGAGAATCTTGTTCCTGCCAGCTCAGCATTACTGATTACATTTACAAATGACATGGAGGTGATTTTGGTGTCACTTCCATAGAGGACAAAGGGTGAAGGAATGAGATTTTTGGTGGAGCCGTAGAGTTTGGAAGATGAAGAAGATGGGGTGAAGATATAAGCACCAGATATGATTCAAAAACTCCTATAATAATATTGAGAGGTGTTCTAGTTAGTTCAGGGGTTACCTCCACAGGAATACGAGCATGCTATCATCTTAAAGGAAGTAGTTTCACCTATTAGTGTTCAGCCGTATCATTATCTCCAAATATAGAAGGATGAGATCGAGAGATTGATCAGGGAGATGTTGGAGGCAGGGATTATTCGACCCAATGTCAGTCTATTTTTCAGTCCAATGCTATTAGCTAAGTACTTCAGCAGTAGTTTCCTTCATTCCACCTTGAGGACAAGGTGAGACTTTGGGAGTGGAGTATTGATAGATTTTGACCTATTTGATTGGGAGGGAATTAGTAAATTTCCTATTAAAGAGGGAATTGTTTAGGAATTTTCTTAATCAAAAGGAATTAATTAGGAGATGTTTTCTAATTGAAGAGAGTATATTTTGGGGCTAATTTAGAGGAGATTAATTAGGAAATATTTTCTAATTGAAGATGACTGATTTGGGGGATGATTTGGAGGGGATTAATTAGGAAATATTTCTCAATTGAATAGGGCTGATTTAGAGGGGATTAATTATAAAATGTTTCTTAATTGAAGAGTGCAGATTTAGAGGCTGATTTTGGAGGGAAATAATTAAGGAAACATGAGGGAATTGGGGGAGGGCTATTTGGTATTTGTTGTTTATTGTTTGTTTTAAATAGGTGATTTTACTAGGGTTAGGGGTATGTGTTGGTTGTTGAAATTAGATTGTTTTTAGGGTGTTTGGGCTCTAGCTAACGCCTAGAGATTTGGGAGAGCCGAATTTTCCTCTCCAATTGAATATGCACTTGTATCTTGTCTTTTTTTCATAAAACTTTCAATAAAAAAATATTCTTGTGTGTTTTATTCATGATTTTCTTGCCGTTGGTTTTCTGAAATTGTTGAAATCAGATTTCAGCCAAGGCTTTTCCTAAATTTCTGTAAGCACTTCCTATCAGTTTCCTAATGGCTAAAAATTCTCGATTAATGAATCATATAGTGTACTTGATGTGACAAAATCCTCAATTAGTTAAGGTCAACTTAGATTGGTCCCGTGGATAAACATCCACTAACCTAAGTTTGTAATATTCCCTTGGTTAAATAATCAATTTCTATCAATAAAGATCCTTCGTGGAGGTTGAGTTGAATATATTATCTGATTAATTAAATTAGGGTCTAACCAAGACAACTAATTATGAGATGATTATTTGGTTTGTTAACATTACCCAATCATCCATTTTAAGTTCATGATGGTAAATTTTCAATCCTATGCTATATTTGCTGCTATGATATTTTAAGCATTTAATGTGTATCTAATGGCTAGTATTCATTGAAAGTTTTCTCTCGTTATCGGGAGTAGTAATTAATCATAGAGGCTTATGCTTATTGGAAATCTAGAATTAGATCATAAAATTCTTACAAATGGGGTTGAAATATCTGAGTAGTGTTTCATCTTCATCCTAAATTTCCTTCAAAAAATTCAACCTGGAGCCACCAAAAGTCTCATAGCATGATGAGAATATGAATTTTCATACCTATTTTTGGATGAAATTCCTGATGTGAAATTTCTTATATTTGGGTGAGTAATGCTTAAGATGAATCAAACATGAAGTGTGAGGAATTGGGTATCAATTTATTGATTTAAAAAGACCCGTATCGATTAGCACATAAGTTGACTCAAAACTTCTAAATGTGGCTGTATTTGAGGAATATAGCATTTTTTCGTTTGTCAAATTCCAATTGCAGCCTAAACTTATTATATCTCAATTATATGCTCATATTTCCCGTTGAGTTCTTCCCTAACTTTACAGTTTTTTTTCTGCAGGGGAGGATCATAAACATATCTTCTATTGTTGGCCTTTCAGGCAATATTGGTCAGGCAAACTATAGTGCTGCTAAAGCTGGGATCATTGGTTTAACAAAGTCTGTCGCTAAAGAATATGCAAGCAGAAATATCATTGTATGGAACAAATTCAGTAAAATGTTAGATACGCTTCCTAAATAATTTCATGTAGTTTGAATTGTTCAAATGTGCATTATTGTGTCTCAGGTGAATGCTGTTGCTCCTGGGTTCATTTCATCTGATATGACTCACAAGCTTGGAGAAGACATTGAGAAAAACATCTTGGGGACAATCCCCTTAAGTAATCTTATTTCACAATTTTCTGATTGTCCAGATTTTAAACCTAATTTTGCAAACTTACAATCAATTATCAAATTGCCGGAATTTATTTGCTTTCTGTATTTTTTTTTTTCATCCAAATATGGCCTTTGTTTCTTCCTATTGAGTGTTGCAACTATCTAGTAATCAAATAGGATAAAGGTTTCTTTTGGGGCAGCTTTTTCATTGCTGTTTAAAAAATAAATAATTTTTTAGTATACAAATTTTAAATTCAAGAAAATTTTTAAGTAAAAATTGTTTTAGAAAGCATTAAGAAAGCTGTCCCAAACAAAGCCAAAGTCTCCTCTTCAAATAACTGGAAAATTAAAATTTCACAATTTGCAGGAAGATACGGACAACCAGAAGAAGTAGCTGGTTTGGTGGAATTTTTGGCCCTTAGTCCTGCTGCAAGCTACATCACTGGGCAGGTAACTTCAAATTTCATTACTTGGTTTTACATAATTCCACAAACTTATTATGTTTTTACCAATCTAATGTTTAAACCCTTATATTTACTTAGATTATTTTAATATTTTGTTTTAAATAAGTTAATAATAATGATATTATTTTATGTGATTTAAAGATTTGATTATTATATGAGTATAAAAATTTAAATGTATAAATACTTAAATATATAAAAATTATGTGGCATATATATCGGTCACCCATTTCATTATTGTATGTTGGAAGTGATAGAAATATTTCAGTTATATTTAAGAGGGTTTTATTAGTTTGTAGAGTTTGAATAGTTAAAAGGAAATGATCAAAATGGTCTCTTGACTTTATATGAATGATCAAAATAGTTCTCAACTATATTAAATGATTATTTTGATCTTTCAAATCTTTAAATTAGAATCAACATAGTACTATGGTAGGACTATTTTGATTTTTATTTAAAGAATTAAGAGACAAAAATGATCATTTAATATAGTTGGAGTTTATTTTAGTTACCCGTAAAGAGTCAATGAACTATTTCGATCTTTTTCTCATCACTTAAATATGCAATTGTTTTATGCAGGTGCTTGCCATTGATGGTGGGATGGTGATGTGAGTGGGTGAGTCTTTCCTTCACAAAATCTTTGTAGCTTTGTTCGAGAATGAGGATATTCTCATCTAAATTTAAAATGAGTTTTAAATTATTAAATTTATTTAAAAATTTATGTAATCCTTGAACAAATGCAATGATCTTTGTTGTTGTTGTTGCTCTCTCATTTGTAGCCTTGCTAGTCATGTTAACCATTAAATTTAAAGTGCATCTATCATGATAACCATTGCTGAGATTTGTTCAATGTTTATAGTCTTTGTGCTAAAGATGATAAAATGATCATCTATGTTAAGTGTTTACTTGGTTCCTTGTAAAAAATTTGATGTGGTTGTGGATTTATTTTTTAAATCTGCTTTCTTGTTATAATTTGCAAGTAGAGGTATAAACAAGTCGAGTCGAGCTTGAGTCATCTGAAGTTTGAGCTTGAGCTTGATTAATTGAGTTCGAGCAAGTTTTATTTCGAGTTTGAATGAACTTTTGTTATGAAAGAGAGTATTTATGATTCAAATAATTATTATAATAAATGATTAAAAAGATGAGAAATTAGATTAAATAATCATTAAATATAATTAACTGATGCATTTTTTATATATTTTTTGTTATTGTATATTTAAATTCATGAATGTTAATGTATTTTTTAAAGAAATGATCAGGGAAAAAATATTTAATATGAAGATTAATGATTCTATTGACTAATATTTAATTTTAAAGAATAAATCATGCAAAAAAAAAAGAAGAAATGAAGTTAGAAATCTCTTAATATCAAATGAATATTAGAAACCTTTTAGGTATAATTATATATATGAATTATTTTTCACTGAAATTATTCTTTTTTCTCTATATTAAGGCCACATATGTAACTATTTTTTAAACTAATTTTCAGAACTTTTTAGTTAAAAAAAACAAGAGCAATAATCAAAAGCTAACAAAACCTAAATGTCCAAGTTAAAACTGAAAATTTCAAAGTAACAAATTTTAAAAGATTTAAGATAATTGAATGACTATGCTTTTGAAAAAGAAAAAAAAATAAATTAACATTTTTAAGCAAATTAAAGTAGTTCAATACATATAAAAGATGATGAACAAGCGATCTATTTTTTGAAATTAAAATTATCTTGATATGAAACCAAACCTCTTGATCATAAGCATTTAGAGTCGCACTGGTGAAATATCTTGAAACCATGCATTTTGCTATAGTACATTACTTCGATTTTATATTTGAAGTGCTTATTATTTATATTTACTTGGGTAAAGATTAAAGTAACCTTAAGGAGAGATTCATATAACTAATTCAAATTAGGCTTCGTTTGAGACAACTTTTTTATTACTTCTTAAAGCAACTTTTTAGTACAAAAATTTTAATTATTGAACTAGAAAGCTGCTTTAAAAAGCAACAAGAAAGTCGTCCCTAACATTAGATGTCTGTCATTCGAGGATGAAATCCACAGATAAAGTACTGAAATCAGTCTTCATTTAGGAGGAATTTTTTTTTATTGCTTCTTAAAGCAATTTTTAATACTAAAAAGCTACTCAAAGTAATAAGAAAGTTTTTCCAAACGAAAATGAAACAGCTTATAGTAATTACATACAATGTTGAGAGCTTGGAGATTACTAATTGTATCTAATATAAATCATTTCTCATTGCATCCTCACAATGTTTCTGCTTCAGAGGAACTATCAATTAAAAAAAATAAAAAAAAATTAGTAAAAGAAAACACTTACTCAACCCTAGAAAAATGTTCACTTCTCAAGCTGACTGAACAGAACTGTATCTATCCAAGATGGTGCTGCAACCGTTAGCAAGTATTATCACCAAAGTAAAGATTTAAGGCCTAGTTTGGGACAGCTTTCATACTGCTTCTTAAAGCAGTTTTTTAAATACGAAAATTTTAATTTTTATACTAAAAAGTTATTAAAGCCGTCCCAAACAAAGACTAAATACGAATTATGGATGCATATGAGTTGTTTGAATCTTCATTATAATTAAGCTCTACAAAAGTACCCCCTCCAATACCCTTAGCAAGTCTTCCTGGGTTAATACACATGCAGCTAACGGTTTCCTCGCCACTGCTGTCATAGTTTAACACCTGCAATTTTTTGCAAAATGGATTACCTCAGCTTCAAGCATTAAAAGCTGTATCAACTATGCTTAAAGTTGGGTAGATTCAACAGAAATATGACAAATATAATCAAAATTGACCAAAAGACTGGATGGAAGTAGCTGCTGCATTTGAACAAAGAAAAATCGATTTGAAGCACTTACCTTGATAAATGGAGCAAGATCAGAGGGAAGCAATAGGACATCAGGAGTGCAAGGGATTTCCATGGCTTCTGGTGCAAGTGATAGATCCAGGGGAACACTTGTTGAAGGTGGATATAGAGGGTAGAAGCTGCATGTTGTCATCAGATGGAAAAAAACCACACATGTTATGCACGTAATTGTTCAGAACTAAAATAGTAAAAGAGTCTCTAACAATTACCTGTGTTGGTTCAGTAAATGCATTGCTAGTCGCCTTATACGATCACCTGAAACATCAATTGAATTTCGAGATAACTCCTCGCTGCTAAGCTGCTTTACAATATCAACAGTACAGCAGCCAAACATGATCTGAAACAGGAAAGTGCAAGAAATAAAAATAAGTGTGCGGGAGCATGACAATTTTCGGTTGAAAAACGCGAGTGCAAATCACATCAATGCCATAACCAAAGCCTATATTTTCGGCATCAAATGCCTTAACATTACTAGGGCAAGCATTAAGCCCTGTTACACAGTTCAAGTTTGCACGTGATTAAAGTCCTGATGTGGCTCAGGCTTTGTTTGGTTATCCCTTTTAACTTTTGTAAAAGGTAGTTTTAAAAACATTCGTGGAGCAAATTGAGTTCTCAAACAGAGAATCATATATCAAGAAACTTCTCAAAATAATAAAAAAACAAAGTTCTACAAAAAGCATTTCCACATAAGTGACATATTCAAACAGCGACAAATGTTGTTTCTAAACGGAGGAGAAAATAAGCCATGTCAAACAGGCCTCAATACCTTAGAGCAACTCTTTGCTATTTTAAATGATGGACAAGGAGAAGCAAGTTATGCTTATGAATCCTCATGAGTACGAAAAAAAAATCTTCAACATTTGAGTGTGATAAAACTAAAAATGTTAAAACGGATGGATTGAAAATCTAGGAAGCTTAAGGTAAGAGCAAGAGGAATAATTACAGCGACATTTATAAAACATAGAATTAGATAGACTGAATTTGTACATCCAAAAATAGAAAATCCGATCATTAAATAAATAGATAAAATTAATATTAAAGGAGAAATAGGTTAGCCTAATGATGTAGGCTAAGGTGATAAGAACAAAGAAATTGGGTATTAGAAGAGTAAAGACCCAAGATAGAAGAATGGAGAATAGAAATATTCAATCTTGTAATTAATCATACAATTGCACTCCATTAAAAGACATAAATAATCTAATTATAGAACTAGGATTTATAAGATTAAGATCAAATCTAATCTTATTCAAATCCTCAATAATTCAAATTTAAATTAGATCTTATAAAAAAGAATACATAAACCTAATTTCAATTAAAAGAAGGCCAAAAAATTCTAACTTAAAAAGAAATGCTTGAAAATAGTCTTAAACCTAATGTCATGTGATGCACCAATTCCTCAGAGCCCAAAAACATTAAAAGCTTTGGCTAGAGGTTAGATGACCATGGTGGAGTTGCTGGTTAAATGGGTTCATGTACATCTTTCAAGGAATTTCAAAGGCAATGGAGATATGCATGAACAAAAGTGTAGTAGTAAACCAAGGTAGGGGCAAGCAGCTGAGAACAATCCCTAATAAGGAATAAATGCTATATAAGCATATGGGATTGCATCTTGTATGGAAGTGGTAGCATGAAACCAACAACAATATGCGATGTTTGACAATGGGCTGAGAACCCTTTTTTTCTGATTGAGTTAAATATATTTACAGGAGTAAACAAATGGCCTTTTTTTATTTTAAGTAAACAAATAACTTAATAACTCATTGACTTCACCGAAGAGGACAGCTACAGAAACATTGTCCGACTTCATCAAAATCGAGTCACATAAATATAAAAAATAACAATGACAGTAAGATCTACAGATGCTTCTTATTTTCCATTTACATGCCATGAATATTCATTCATTAAAAAAGAAATGTCAATACAAAATATAATTAACGGAAACAAAATAAAATACTTACATTAACTGTTTTTTTCCCCTTCAACATCAGGTAAAACCAAAATACAAAAGGAGTAACTTCTAAGTGTAGGTCCCAGGTCCGAGAGACGACTGGCAACTACTAGAACCCTTGAAACCATCATATGCGGAAATCTAGGACCCACGTAGCAAGCATAAAAAACTAGTGTCGAGGGTGACATTATTGGTAAGTTTCCTTCCATCATATGACTCAAGTAACAAATTGATTCATTTTTTAAGTCTTCATAGCATTTTGACTTCTTGTTGAAGATCTTGGACACTGCTCTCTTCAAGCAATTTGGTAGGTAGACTTATAGTAAGCAAGTTCAACTTTCTCTACTGATTTGAGGCAACTTTTATAAATCTAATCAGAAACTTCAAACTTGGTTGATACAGTCTTCAATTTGTGAATCCAACATTATCTTCTCAATCTCAATGTCGATTGCCAACCTCTAGACTCATGGTTGCCTTTTTCAAGAAATACATCTCGAGATCATCTTTTAATGCATAGCTTTAAAAATCATCACCCTTGGTTCTATCTTAGGAGACTTCTCCACTAAGTTCGTCTCAACAGAATGGCTCATAGCTTTGCTTTTAAACAATTGTCATAATCATATTTGGCTATAGCTTTCTTGTTGCTTCTTAAAAACTTATGTGGGGAGAAATAATATTTTACAACTTAATAGAATGTGTGAGAGAGAGAGAGTTTATAACACCAACATCTTTCAAAAAACTTATTTTCCCTCAACAATTCTACAATTACTTTTTCCAAACGATAGCAACTACCCTAAAAGAGTCCATAATCTACCAGATGAACGACCCGTCATAAACTTTAATGGCAAATTTGTAAGTGATATAGTGTTATTGAAAACATTAGACATATTTGTGGACCTTCACTAACACATAATGGGTCCCTGGAAATCATAAATCTTAACGGTCCACCATTAACTTGCCACATTAGTTGGCAAGATTTTTAATTCTGCATTGCTTAGAAGGGGATCTCACTATCGCCCTCTCTTGATACATAGAAAGTGGCTCACCCCCGATCAAGATACACCAAAACTACAATCCCTTAAGGTGAAGCCATATCAAAAAGTCATCTCCAAAACTATAATCCCTTGAGGTGAAGCCCTATCAAAAAGTCATTTGGTACGAGACCCTATAAAAAATGATGTTGGGAAGTTTCTCTAAACTCAAAAAACTCTATCCTCCTCTCTTCTTTTACTTTATATGTATTTTATTTTATGTACACTTTATATATTTACTTTTTAAAATCCCTTCTATGGTAGATCCAAGGGCCTAAAAGCCCTTCAATTTACTATAGTCATTGATGAGTAGTCATCTTCGCAAAAGAACCACACTGAAGCATAGTCACCTAGAAGGAATATTGTGGTGCTTGACCACAAGTTTGATTATGTCGATTATGACCAGGTAAAGCTGAGGCAAGCCACAACTCCAAATAACTATGTTGTGTCAAGTATGGGCTGGTTCCTCTAACTTGAAGTTAAAGGCAAAACTTTAATAAAATTTCAAGTGAAAAGTAAAGTTTTTTAAGTCATGAAGCTATTGAAATTTAGTCATCCACCATAAGTTATTAAACGGGAAAATGAAATTAAATCATTCCTAAAATTTACTAAAAATTCATGAAAAATGCTAAAACATGCTAAAATAAAAATGTTAGAACAAAAAATGCCTTAAGATTGAGACTTTAAAGGACATTTTTCACAGAAGTATAGACCACCCTAATGGAACATGAATAATCTTAGCCTTGGAATGTATACTCTATGACATAGGAAACTGGATAAGAATATAATAAAAATTAAATCAAACAATCATTCTAAAACTTGAAATGAAAGAAGTGGATTAAATCTCACACCCATTTAAAGTCAAACTCAAGAACTAAACGACAAAAGGCCGAGTCAACATCAATCCTACTTTCTCTCTTCCCAAAACATTTTATGTGACTCGTCATTTTCAAGAAAACTCCATAGCCAAAATTGACAAAAAAAAAAAAATCTAAAATTCGTGTAAAACACTCCAAAGCCAAAATTGACAAAAAAGCCTAAACTTCGTGTAAAACTTCATCAAATCCAATATCATATACATCAATTTTGAAAAATTGCTAGAAATCAGATCAATATCCAAAAAATGACAAAACTTGGTGAATAATCTTTTTTGTCATTTTTTATAAGATCTGCTCATAATAAGAAATTTCAACCCAAAGCAAAATAATTTCAAAATTGAAATATTGTAAAATACCTAAATTAACACTGTTATTAGATTTTAAAAATTCCAATAATTTAGAAAGCTCCAAAAATCTTAAAAATTTTATGATAGCCTCCTTTCATTGAACTCTACATGCCATAAATTTTCCCAAAATAAAAAGGTAAGATTTTTTTGTAATAATTGCAACTTTTGGGGCCAACTTCCAAATTTTCCATAAAACCCTATTTTTATTGAATAATTCTAAAATTTGGTGGAGATCTCCCCTCACCCGTTTAACACAAATAGAAGATTCAAATTTTGGATATTTTCAATTTTCTAAAATGCCCCTGCTCCTATTTTCAGTAAAAAATTATGAAACTGGCCAAGTCAATCTCATGTGTTAGTTTTTAACATACACCCAAAAACTAGTCACAGATATATTCATTCCCACAACCTAAGATGCTCAATCTCATCTCCAACAAAATGAGGTAAAACTATTGCATTGGGACAAAGCTAAACTAATACACCTTTCAAAGCCAAAATACTCCACAATCATAAACCAAGGTCAAAATACCCAAGAACCTAATCTCATCGGAATGAAGTTAAACTTCCACTATGGGACAAAGCTAAACTAACACCAGATCTAATCACTCACTTTCCTTTTGATGAGGTTGACACAATTAATGCCCCTAGACACGTTAATTCTCCTTACGACATGTTAATACCTCCAAAATGAATATCAAATCAAAGGCGCATCAGCAACTTTTTAACCCTTTTGAAAATGAATAACTATTGCTCCCAATCTAAACAAAACCCATATGTCCTACTATTATATTTGAAGCACAAACTAAAATTCCTTAGTCAAACCACCGAGGACCTAGACCAACTCAATTTCATTTTGATTGATCAGGCAAAGGATAATACAAGCCCACTTAATCTTACCCTCATAACGAATCAAAACATATTAATCCCCAGTAAATCAATATGCCAGCCCCAACGAGCTGGTTTACATATCCACCTTATTTGGATAGATTTATCCCCAGTTATCAGCCTCTTAACCCAAAATACTATTTGCACTCAAAATACATCATAAAATATATAAAAAACCAATAAATGCTATAATAATTCAAAAAAAACACATTGTTTTGTGATCCCAACAAAACTTTGTCTTTCACATT